GTTGTTCAGCAACGTGGACACCTCCAAATGGTGTTGAAAGAGTCACATGCTGTATTTATAAGATATAATTCACCCCAAATGTCACTTCTGTCTTCATGTAATGTATTTGCGACCGCAAAATCACACGTGACGTGAGCTGCTGACCGTCAGCTGTTACCACAGAGAGGGCGGACGCGCACCTCTGCATGAAGTCTACTGTAGTGAACAGAACCTGCATAAGCTGTGAATAACAGGTAATAGAGTTGTACCTGACATTCAGTTTGTGGCACAGAGTGATCGTTTGAGAGCCGTGCGGGAAGCGAACCGCTCTTAGCAGTAAAAATGAAACCGAAAGCGCACACAGTGTCAGATGTAGCTGACTGACTCCAGCCCAAGCAGTATCCAAAACCCGCCGAAACGCACAAACACCCACCCAGTCTTCTGTTCAAAGAAATCACATCAGTGACAGATTTATAGCAGGAAATGACAGATTGTAAGTATATATCTCAAACACAATAATTCAACATCAGAATGATCATCAGCATTAATGACCAGGACACATCTAAAGTCTGTTCAAGTCCACCATTCCAACTCTATACAACATTCAGCATTTTCACCAACAGTACAGCTACACAAAGCCTACTGCTGTTTACCACAATAACATTAATACTCATATTAACCTTTATTCTACACCTACAGAATCAGGAGACAATCCTGATCTTTATTTTAGACAAAACAATTACGATTCTCATTTTAGCCAGAATCCTGCAGCTCTGATCAAGACCATGCTTCTGATCCATCGTCTTTGATTTAAATAAATCATATGTTGGCAAAACCTGTTTTACTATATATACCAAGAGTAATAAGAAGGCAATTCGTACTCTTTTCCAAAGAGAAATCAATACTGTACCTTATATTCAATCTTATTGTTAATCATTAATCGTTAATCATTATTGGATGTCTTTATTAAAGGATCAACTGATTTGCTGGATAAAAAAGTGTGGCTGTTACCACAGAAATATCATGTTAGAAATAAAATGATAGAAATATCCTATAAACCTCTCCACAGATTTTATCCAGCAAAACATTATTCACAAAAATGTAAAAGTGGGATTGATGTAAATTGTGTTTTTTGTAATGAATATGAGGAGACTGCTTTACACTTGTTTTGGCATTGCGCATACTCGGTCAACTTATGGAGTGAGGTGCCAAAACTGCAGTGTTCTAAACCTCTGTCATTGTTGTGGGAAAATGTACTTTTTGGCTTTAGTATGTACCCTAGTCGAGAGAAAAATAGTTTTTATTCAATTATTTAGTGATTTTGCTAACACAATGTACATTCATAAATATAAATTTACCAATAAGAAACCGAATTTTAAGGTGTTGATGACTGAATAATGCTTATATATTAGTAAGAGACTCTCTAAATCAGAAAGCCCTACACACTTTAATACTTTGTGAACTCTACAATGTGATTATTACATGTACATTTTGAATTAATTTTGTATATTTGTATTTTATTTATGCTCACCCCATGGCATGTATATTTTTTGTACTGTTAAAATGTTATGATAAAAAAGAAAATAAAAATAAAAAAAGTTTGGTGATGGAGAGTTCATGGTTTGGGGTCATTCAGTATGGAGAGATCTGCAGAGTGGATGATCAACATCAACAGCCTGAGGGATCAAGACATCTGTGCTGCCCATTACATTACAAACCACAGGAGAGGGACAATTCTCCAGCAGGATAGCGCTCCTGCTCATACTTCAACCTCCACATCAAAGCTCCTAAAAGCAAAGAGTGTTCCAGGATTGGCCAGCCCAGTCACCAGATATCAACATTATTGAGCTGATGAAGGAGGGGGCGTTGAAGATGAACACCAAGACTCTTGATGAACTGGGATCCTGCAAGAACGCTTAGTTTGCCATTGCAGATGACTTTAAGTCAGGTCTATGTTTCTGTGTGGAGTTTGCATGTTCTCCCCGTGTTGGTGTGGGTTTCCTCCGGGTGCTCCGGTTTCCCCCACAGTCCAAACACATGCGCTATAGGGGAACTGATCAACTAAATTGGCCATAGTGTATGAGTGTGTATGGGTGTTTGTTAGTTGGGTAGCAACTGGAAGCATTCGCTGCATAAAAACGTGCTGGAATAGTTGGTGGTTCATTCCGCTGTGGTGACCCTTGATTAATAAAGGGTCTAAGAATTTGGCGTCTAAGAATTTGTGGAATTTGACGCTCGTCTGACTTTTCGTGAACCCTAAACGAATTGCAGGCATTCATAAGGAATGACCTTCACACACACACACACACACACACACACACACACACACACACACACACACACACACACACACAGAAGGTAAATGTAGAGGGATTCTGTGATGCTAATGTGTGTTTTTCACGAGAGTGTGTGTGTGTGTGTGTGTGTGTTTGTGTGTGTGTGTGTGTGTGTGTGTGTGTGTGTGTTTGAGGTTTACAGCTCCCGTTTGGCAGAATGAAACCCACACTTTGCTTCCATTTTTGGGTGTTTTTGTATGTGGCGAGCTCACATCTGTGTCTGCTTCTCCTGATGTGTTTCCCTGCTGCTCCTCATTTGAGCCTGCTCTGTTCTTCTGCACAATACAGAGACAAACAGACCCGTGCTGGATCAACTGCACTTCTAAATTCACCCATTAGATGACTGCGTGCTCTTTCATCCTCTTATTCCTGGTTATTCTGAATGATATAGTCAGTAATAGTCATACATGAACAGTAAACGCTACCTTAGGAATGTTTGAAGATGAATTGTTAGAGAATAATGCACACCTGATGTGGTGTAGTGGAGTGGCCGTTACACCTCAGATGTGTTTGAGTGTGTTTGTCAGGTGTGTGTCCTCCTCAAGCGTCTCCTGTGTGTAGCACCCATCGCCTCCTCCTCCTCCTCCTGTTGTGTTCTGTTGTGTTTTCTGACTGTTCTATCTGTGAAATAACTCCAGTCATTCAGTGGAGTGATATGGAGCTGTAATGCGCATTAAACCTGCCGGAACTACTTTAGCTGTGCCTTTATCTGACAATAACCAAACACCTTACAGCGACATTCAGCCAGTCAGAATCGAGCATTTAACAGCCCCCGTAAAAGTAATTTTACACTATCATCCCTGCTGAAAAATCTAGCTTAAAGATAGCCTAGGCTAGCAGGCTAGGCTGGTTTCAGCAGGGATGTTCTGGCTATTTTGGTAGTTTTTACAGTGTTTCAAGTATTTTAAGCTGTTGCTATGCAGTTGCTAGGGTCTTTTCATTGTAGCAGTTGTTACAATGTTTTAAAAATGTTAGGCTGTTGCTATGCAGTTGCTAGGGTGTTTTGGCTGTTTTAGCAGTTGTTACATTGTTTTAAGTACTTCAGGCTGTTGCTATGCAGTTGCTAGGGTGTTATTTTAATTGTTACAATGTTTCAAGTATTTTAAACTGTTGTTATGCAGTTGCTAGGGTCTTGTCATTTTAGCAGTTGTTAAAATGCTTTGAAAATCTAGGCTGTTGCTATGCAGTTGCTAGGCTCGGTAGTTGTTTTTGTGGTTGTTGCAATGTTTTGAATAATTTAGGTGGTTGCTATGCAGTTGTTAGGATGTTCTGGTTGTTTTAGTATTTGTTACAATGTTTCAAGTATTTTATGCAGTTGCTAGGGTGTTCTGGCTGTTTTGGTATTTGTTACAGTGTTTCAAGTATTTTAAGCTGTTGCTATGCAGTTGCTAGGGTGTTCTGGCTATTTTAGTAGTTGTTACAATGTTTCAAGTATTTTAGGCTGTTGCTATGCAGTTGCAATTGTGTTTTGGCTGTTTTAGTAGTTGTTACAATTTTTCAAGTACTTCAGTCCGTTGCTATGCAGTTGCCAGGGTCTTGTCATCTTGGCAGTTGTTGCAATGTTTTGAAAACTTTAGGCTGTTGCTATGCAGTTGCTAGGGTGTTCTGCTTGTTTTAGTAGTTGTTACAATGTTTCAAGTACTTCGGCTGTTGCTATGCAGCTGCTAGGGTCTTGTCATATTAGTAGTTGTTACAATGTTACGAGTACTTAAGGCTGTTGCAATGCAGTTGGTTGTTTTGCAGTTGTTAAAATGTTTTAAGTACTTCGGCTGTTGCTATGCAGTTGCTAGGGTCTTATCATTTTAGTAGTTGTTACAATGTTTCGAGTACTTAAGGCTGTTGCTATGTAGTTGATTGTTTTGCAGTTTTTACAATGTTTCAAGTACTTCAGGCTGTTGCTATACAGTTGCTAGGTTCGTTAGTTGTTTTTGTGGTTGTTACAATGTTTTGAATAATTTAGGTGGTTGCTATGCAGTTTTTAGGATGTTCTGGCTGTTTTGGTATTTGTTACAGTGTTTCAAGTACTTCAGGCTGTTGCTATGCAGTTGCTAGGGTCTTGTCATTTTAGTAGTTGTTACAATGTTTCGAGTACTTCAGGCTGTTGCTATGTAGTTGGTTGTTTTGCAGTTGTGACAATGTTTCAAGTACTTCAGGCTGTTGCTATACAGTTGCTAGGTTCGTTAGTTGTTTTTGTGGTTGTTACAATGTTTTGAATAATTTAGGTGGTTGCTATGCAGTTTTTAGGATGTTCTGGCTGTTTTGGTATTTGTTACAGTGTTTCAAGTACTTCAGGCTGTTGCTATGCAGTTGCTAGGGTCTTGTCATTTTAGTAGTTGTTACAATGTTTCGAGTACTTCAGGCTGTTGCTATGTAGTTGGTTGTTTTGCAGTTGTGACAATGTTTCAAGTACTTCAGGCTGTTGCTATGCAGTTGCTAGGTTAATTAGTTGTTTTTGTGGTTGTTACAATGTTTTGAATAATTTCGTGGTTGCTATGCTGTTGCTAGAGTGTTCTGGTTGTTATAGTAGTTGTTACAATGTTTCAAGTAATTCCGGCTGTTGCTATGTTCTTTTTTTCCGGTTGCTACATTGTTTTGAGTACTCTAGCTGTGCAGTTGCTAAATAAATGATCGTTTAAGTCAGTTGTCTAACTCTTTCTGTGTGTTTGTGTCTCTGTGTGTTTGCAGCCCAGTGTGCTGATCGTCAGTTATATCGAGTCTGGAAAAGCAGCTGCGCAGTTCGGCTTCTATCAGCAGGTGGAATGGAAACCCGACGACTCCATGATTGCCGTAGCGGTGAGTAAAACACCTCTGTTACTCCTGTGTGCGTGTGTGTGTGTGTTTCGTGATTAGGCTGTTGTGTTCACATGCTCAACAGAAATGGCTGTGATTGGCTGTGAAAGTTATTGTTTAACACTCTTCACCACTGAAGTATTATTAGCTAATTAATGTTGAGTTAATTGATTAATTGATTGATTTAGATTTTATTTTGGTTGGTTAATTGATTGGTTGATTGATTTGATTTAGTTTGGTTGATTGTTTGGATTATTGGCGAATTGATGATGTTGGTTGATTGATTGGGCTGATTGAAATTTGATTTTGATTTGATTGTGCAGTTGGCTGATTGATTTGGTTGGTTGATTGATTTTAATAGCTGATTGATTGATTGATTGATTGATTGATTGATTGATTGATTGATTCAATGTTTGTTTCATATATTGACTGAATGATTAACATTGATTGATTGCTTGATTGACTGGTTAATTGAAGGAGGGATTGATTGAATGGCTGATTGATTTCAATGAATGATTTGATTGACTGATTGATTTGATAGATTGATTGATTGATTGATTGATTGATTGATTGACTGATGGTTTGGCTGATTGAATGATTGATTGGTTGATTGCTTTAATTGATTGACCCAATATTTGTTTGATTAATTGTTTGACTGAATGATTGATTATTTAACAATAGATTTTTTCGTTGATTAAAAGATTGATTGATGATCGATCGATCGATCGGTTGGTTGGTTGATTCTTTTTTTTTTGGATTGATTGATTCTTGCCATGTCCGTGTTTCTTCATCTTCAATCCTCTTCATGTTGACGGTTCCTCTTCATCAGCACTATTTGAAGGCCTCATGATGACTGAAGGCTGTTCCTGAAGCTAGCGGTGTAATTTATTCCAGCCGCACAGAGTGTTTAAATGTTAATGCTTCAAGCGTCAGTCATTTAAGGACGCCGAACAAAACACACTGTGCTTTCCCTTTTGTTTGGCTGCATAATTGCTGTCATTCTGCGTTATTAAAGCCGACAGACAGGCAGAGATGCGCAGAAACGCTCTCTACACGCAGCATAAAAGCTCATGTCTGTTTGTCAGAATCGTCTGCCATTCCTTCTGTTGGCGACACAATACAGCCAGTGTTCCTCCATCCACCAGTCCATCACACCAGCCTGACACGTCTCAATAAATAATGCTTTAATTCGGCTTCTCCATTCGGTGCAGAGTTTTGTTCTCTTAAAAGAGTTGTCTTCATTCTCAGATGACTGACGGAATCATCATTTCAGACTTCATTTGTGTTCCTTTAATAGAGTTTGTTCGTTTCTGTTCTCCAGCGCTGTGTGTTGTAGTTGATGATTGTGTTTGGCAGTGTGTGTGTGTGTGTGTGTGTGTGTGTGTGTGTGTGTGTGTGTTTCTGAATGGGTCAGAAGCGTGTCGTGTGTCCAGACATCAGATCCGTGTGTTTCCACTGCATGAGGTCACAGAGCTACTGAAAACCTCAGGCTTCATTTCTTCTCTTCTGCATTTAAAACTATTGCTTAAGGGCGCTAACAGTGTTAATTAATGAATTTACCAAGCATACTAACAGAAATAAGCCTTCCCCCAGAAATAAAACATAATAAAAAATAAAATATACTTGCTCTGTTTAATAGGATTTCTAAAATCGATTGCCTTCAATCGTATATTTATCATGCATTAATAAATAAAAAAGTAAGGAGTTATTATCATCCTCTACCTGTACTCAGATTATGATTGCTGTTTGTTTAAACTACTGAGCCGTAAGCTATGAGCTGAAACATTTTTTTGGGGGGACAACTTAATAGTTTTATGTTCAATCTACATAAATTTGTAAAACATTTACTACTACTAGGGCTGCTCGATTATGGGAAAAATCATAATCGCGATTATTTTGGTCATAATTGTAATCACGATTATTCAAAACGATGATCAGTTAAAGTCAAAATTATTTACCCTTCTGTGAATTTACTTTTATATACAAATATTTCCCAATTTATGTTTAACAGAGACATTTTTAACAGTATTTCCTATAATATTTGTTTTCTTCTGGAGAAAGGCTTATTTGTTTCATTTCAGGTATAAATATTTCGAAACCTATTTTAATAGCTCAATATACAGGGGTGATAGCGTTCCGGCACCACGCCGGATTTCCGGCGTACTGTGGTTGCGGGTAGGGTTGTGACGGTGAGGAAATTTCCCCACCGGTTAATCGACATGTGACAACACCGGTAATACCCGTATCACCGTGGGAGTGGGCATTTTTTCATTTCCTCTTTTTTCTGCTTTTAAATAGCTTATAAATGCGTGCGTATAATACTTTCACTTTCAGTTTTGCGGGAGTTGCCAATTCGGTGTCAATTGTTTGAATGGACGGAAAGGAAACTACAAAAAAAATCCCTGTTATTAAACAAAACATAACTTTTATTTACATAACGAATAAAACACAACACTGCTACAGGCTGAAAAAACTGTGTAAGTTGGAACCATACAAATAACAACCATAAACGCCTTGTTATATATTATGAGCTTGAACAATCCGTTTATAAAATACATTATTAACGAATTTAGGCTATTGAAGAATAAACCGAATATGAAATATGATCCTTGCATAATGATCACAAACAAGCGAGCACTCATTTTATATTTAAACTATATGAAAAAAAATTAAGAATTGGAACATTATGTAAAAAATCAAAGGGCAGGCTAAATAAAAGCACCTCGTCAGAGCTAAACACCGCATGTGTCAGTTTACAGCTTCTGGAGAGATCAGACAACCTATACAGATCACACAATCTCAATAAACAACATGTAGGCCTGAATGTATAAATATTTCGATAAATATTGTTATGGAATATTTATAACTAAATGATCTTGCTTTTTGGTTTTATCGATACAGCTTTGATCTCTCTTACAAGCGGCAGTTACAGGCGCAGCATAAGGGCGTCTCACACTGTCAGTGGCGGAATACACACAGCACTGCCAAGACGTTTTATTTTTATTTTATTTGTTGCAGATTTGCGCGTTGTTCCTTTAAAAAAAAACTTTTATTTTTTAATTATCTCAAGTTCAATGTTGTCTATCGAGTAACTGTCGAGTCCCTCGGATTGGAGTTCAGTGCGCATTAAGACTATTGACCAACCGCCCTGTAAGTTTAAACACTACAGGTCCACAGCTCTGGTGTGGTATGAATTACACGTTTTAAATGATAGCGAGACATGCTACGTTGAGTTTTTATTGTAAAATATACATTATAACCCAGTACACGGTAAAATAATATGTTTTGAATGGTTTGTCTATTGACGGCGTATAGCCGAGCATATTTTCATTAAAATTAAAACACATTAATACAAATTAGCCACCCTTTGATTTTTTTTCGTTTACGTATATTTTTATCAAACGAAAAATGCTATGAATTGTTAATTTTAGTTTTCATTTTATTAGAGTTAATAGGCCTATAATTTATAGGCTACACAACTCATATCTTTGGCTCCAATTGCGTTTTTACAGATATCCTACCAATAGACTTTTTTTGGCTCAAAGACATTTATGCCTATTAATTTCAGAGGTGCATTTTGACAGATTTCGTAAAGGCTTCAGCTATTCTACCTGTCAGCTGCACCTGCCTAAGTTTTGCAACTTGACTTGTGTTGTGGCTCGATGTCTGAATGAGAGAGAGAGAGAGAGAGAGAGAGAGAGAGAGAAATCAGTCCTCAGATTCGATGTGTGGCCGCACATCTCAGTTACTTTATTGCAATTTTTAATATTGGCTCATCTAAATAAACTTTTAATATATTAAAAGCCGAAATATTGCCAGACAGAAGAAGCAACTTTCGGTTTTTGAAGAGAGCGGCCTCAGTTATAAAAGATGCGCGCACACACAGGATTCCATCTTTTTGGCCTAGACATTATGGATTTTTTTGACATTAAACACATAATCAAGTGGAAATAAGAACAGCTGAACTTCGGAAAAAGTCCTCACGTTGCCGATGTTTCTCTGCAGATGGATTGTCAAAGGCGCGGCATTGCTAAATCGTTTTAATAAAAAAAAAGATATTTATTATTAAACATTGTGAGATGATGGTCGCGTGATTTTTTTTTTAAATGAGAGTATGCGTTGCGTATTTATGGCCATTAATCTATCCGCGACCCACCCATAGTTAAACATGAAGGTGCGTGTATAAATTAGTTATGTTTCCAGATACTGCCACCTTTGTCAGGCAAAGTTTGCAGATTGCCTCATTAACGTCATCAGGTTCTCTTATGCATTTGGTTTGAACCCAAAATTTTGCCAAACATGCGCTTTTGCATTGCGTTTTGACAATAAATCGTCCGCCATCCTCTTTCTGTAAATTCGACTCCTCTTTTCTCCTCACGTGGTAAATGAAATATGACGCACTGTAGCTATGTTTTGATTTTAATTATAGAGCATGCTCTCGTTTTAAGTCAATTATTTATAATTATATTTTCCATTTATTTTAAATAAATGTTTAATAAAATAAATAAATAAAAAAACGAATAGCCTACTTAAAAAAAAACAAATGTGGGGACGGTGTCACGGTAGAAAAGTGATGTCACCGGTGTTGCGTCTTAACACCGATATCACCGTCAACACCGTCTATCGTGGCAAGCCTAGCTGCGGGGAAAAAAAATCAGGTTCACGGATATTGATCTGTCATTTCTCTAGATTCACAGAATTCACTCACTGCTGAAAGCGACGGATTGGTTTTATTAAGTGCCATTTTGTGTGCTCGTGAATCATCTTTTGAGTGTAGACGCCATGTAAATAAAATATTAATTGTGTAATTTAGAGAGCTTTATAAATTATAACGGATCTTTGTGAGATCTCTATGAACTAAGATCAGTGACGCTTTTTAGTGATAATAAGAGGAGCGTGCTTTGCACTTTCCAGGCTATAAACTATTCAGAATTTGTATGAAACTTTCGTTTTCGGCACATATACGCTGATATGTTTTGGGAATGACATCTGCATATTTACGC